GTACTTTTTGAAATTAGAGAAAATAGCACCCTATTTGGCTTTGTGGTGAACTACAATGTACACTGATTGTTAAAGTTAACCATAAATTGTGATGCAAATTTATTGTGAGGGTGAGGAGAGGAAAAGTCTGGGTGTTCACCTCTGCGGGAAGGATAAGGGCTCAACGGGCATGTGTGAAAGGCGACATTTAAGGTCTACAGTTCGTAAATCCAGAATTAGCAGTGTTCATCGGAAATAAGGGTGTAACCACTTGAAGGAACAGCTAACGCAGTTGAAAGTAGTGGCCTGTGAACGCTGGTGTAGGCTTGGTTGGACTGGGCTGGGGTGAAGAGATTCAGAGAACTGCTGATTTTCATTGGCTCATAAGGTGTGTGTGACATGTACGTGTTACTTTGATGTAAAACAGCAGAAAAGAAAGTACACATATGCACACGTGTACACACACATACACACACACAGACACGCACAACCTTTTGGGATCTTAAAAGTGGGACAGAAATGGGAGATTTAGAGTTTCCAAACCTACCGTCTCTTTAAAATATCTTACCTACACTTAAGGTTAAGACTTGATCACATCTACTTAATGGCCCTCCAGGAAGACCAGGCATCTCTTCCCTGTTTCTTTCCTCTCTCTTCCCCCAAAACAGAAGCTCCAGGAAGATCCAGAGCCCTGTTCTCTTTGCAGCTGTCCGGAGTTCACACCTTGCTTCACAGGTCAGCCGTTTCACACTTGCAGGGACTGAGCCTGGAGTGGCCACCGTCACCTGCTCAGCCTGGCCTGCTGCAGAATCCCAGAGGCACTTCTCCCTCTGAGGTGTCACGGTCGCCTAAAGCCATTCTGTCCTCTTGACCTTTCAGAGGAAAGAGGAAGAGGAGAGGAAGCGAGGCGAAGAGCAGATCCGCCTGCAGGAAGAGCAGCGGGCGAAGGAGCTGTACTGGACCCTGAAGCAGGCTCAGCTGCACTGCCAAGCCAGCGAGAAGGAGGAGCGGGAGTGGGAGGAGCAGTGTGAGTAGCCCCGCCCGCCCCTCCCTTGGGTTTGCCTGCTTAGCATTTCAGTTCGCTCACAGTTCTCTCACGCACCCCTCGACCCAGGTCAATCGCGTGCATGGCCCTGCTAAGGACCCGGAGAGTAAGGGCTCTGCCTTTTGGAGCTTGCATGCCCATTGAGGAGATTTCTTATGTTAAAAAAAAAAAAAAAATCCTGCATTTATTGAGTTGCCAGTAATTTCTTGGCTCTGCGCTAAGCCTTGGGGATCCAGAGTTGAGGGATCATGGCCCTTACCTTGGAAGCATTCACCTATGACGGCAGCAGATAGACACAGAGGCTAAGGGCAGCAAGGGAGGTTGCAGCCTACATGCTGTTGGAGCCCAAAGTGGCTGTCCCAGTGGGCTTCCAGAGGAGGTGTCCCAAAGGGAGTCTCAGTGGTGACACAAGAAATACGTCAGTCAGGCTGGGGAGAGCACTCCAGATGGATGCTCCTGCATGTGCAAAGGCCTGGTGACAGGAACGAGGTGTGCCTCGGATGTACGGGGCAGTGAGCACTTGAAGAGTGGCAGGGTGGTGAGACATTAGTGTGGGGAGGGGAAGGCGGAAGCAGGGGGTGGTTTTACTATGTACCTGGGATCTGTTTGTAGCAGGTGTGGTAAGACGTGCAAGCTCAGACGTGATCCTCATGAAGGGAGAAGCTTTTACTCATGATGCCTACAGATAAGAGGCATGGCACGCCACTCAGGGCCGTGTGTGGAAATAGCAGGCTCTATCAAGAGGCAGAGGGGTGGGAGGAAAACATGGGCAAGAACCTTTAGTGTGGTTTCCTCGGGAAGGGTAAGTTGAGGCAGGAGAGGCGGGCTTGTTATTGGCTGGCTTGGATAATTTTAGTGGGCTCTGGGGTATAGAGTTTTGTGGCATCTAGCCCTGGAGTGATTAGGACAGAGGGATCTTGGCCCGCAGTGTGAGACCAGGAGGTGGTTCGGGGATTTGAGCTGTGGATTGGATTGGATGGCCTGCATATGAAGGTGCACTTGCCGGTTAGACCACCACTGTCTCTTAGACCATCACTGTCTCTTAGAATTGGCTAGCCTGGAAGGGGCACTGTCTCTAGAATCAGCAAGGCCTCCATTGTCAAAAAACCAGAAACTACAGAAAATAGAAAGGTATGATGAAAACAGGTGGACAGTGGGGAACTTTTGAAGGTGAGTGACAAGATTCTGGCAGGCGTTGGGAGTGAGAGCCAGGAGGGGGCTGTTGGAGTAGTATACTTTGAAAGGGGTTGGAACTGGGGCCACACAAGGAGAGCAGGAATGAGAGATGTCTTCTGCTGGCCAGCCTGTTCACCCTCAGTATATCTTAACCTTATGTCAGATTCATTAAACAGACTTTTCAGACCAATTTTTAAAACAACAAATTGAGATGTAATTTGTATGCCACAAAAATTATCCTCTAAGATGTACAATTCAGCAGTTCTTATTATAGTACACTTGCAAAGTTGTGCAACCATCACCAATATCTAATTCCAGAAGATTTTTATCACTTTCAAAAAAACCTCCGGAACCAATCAATGGCAGTTAACTTCTCCCTCCACTATGAGCCTGAAGGCCACTAATCTAACTTCTGTCTCCATGGATTTGCTTATTATGGACATTTCATATAAATAGAATCATATTCTAATGTATGCATAGACCACGTTTTTGTTTATTCATCTATCAACTGGGGAACATTTGAGATGTTTTAATTTTTTTGGCCATTTGGAATAACATTACAACATTGCCCTGAACGCTTGTGTGAGTTCAGTTCTCTTTGGCGTATATGCCTAGGAGTGGAATTTCTAGGTCATATGGTGTTCATTTTTTGTTGCAATACCTGAATATTTGAGACTGGGTAATATATAAAAAAGGAAATTTATTTGCTAGTTCTGGAGCCTGGGAAATCCAAGGTCTAGGAGTCAGTCACATCTGTTGAGGGCTGTCTTGCTGGTGGGAGCTCTGCAGCGTCCTGAGGCAGAGAAGGACATCACATAGGGAGGGAGAGGTGCACTGAGCACTGACCTGGCTTTTGTAATAGACCTGTTCATTTAATAACTAACCCATTCCTGTGATAACCCATTAATTCATTAATTCACGAATCCATGAATGGATTAATCCAGAGCCCTCATGATCCAATCACCTCTTAAGGCCTTACCTCCCAATACTGTTACACTGGGGATTCTCAATCTAAGTTTTGGAGGGAACATACATTCAAACCACTGTATGTGGTAACAATGTTGAACATTCTGAGTAACTGCTACTCTGTTTTCCCGAAGTGACCCACTATTTTATAACCCTGCCAGCAATGTATGAGAGTTCTAATTTCTTTATATCCTCACCAACCCTTGTAATTGTTTGTGTTTTTTTATTTATAGCCATTCTAGTGGGTGTGAAGTGATTATCTCATTGTGGTTTTGATTTGCATGTCCCTAATGACTAATGATATTCTGCATCTTTTCATGTGCTTTATGGCCATTTGTATTCATTTTGGAGAAATGTCTCTTTGAGTGCTTTACTCAGATTTGAATTTTTTTTGTTGTGTTGGGTTGCAAGAGTTCTTCATATATTCC